TTTGCCTTCTTTACTAGATGTATATTGGTTTGTTGCAAGTGATTACACTTGCAATTTGCTTATGTAAAACTGAAAAATGTGAGGTGAATCCCAAGGAGACAAGACTGTTTCTTGAGGAATTTCTCATAAACCTTAATTTGAACAAATCAAGAAGGGCCATACTATGAGTCTTCCAAGACCCTTACCCTTTGTCGTTCTCTCCATGACTCATCTATCTGGAATCATGTTTCCTCCTATCCAGACACATGCTGGGAACCACTGATTTTATGTATTAAAGCACATAAATGTGCTTTAAGGGTAAAGGATGACAAGGTGGAGTACTCATTATGGGAAAATGATGCTGTCCTAGTGGATTAGAGACCCTAACATCATGGAGGAGAGCAAGCAGAGTAGAAACTTAACAGGAAGGATCTATGACAAATACAGTGACCAAGGCACATTCCCACGCTTTCCAATCGGGTCCTACCATCTAACAATTCTAGTTCTCACAATAGTCTACTCAGGTTCTGTACCCACCAGGGATTTAAAACATTCATCAGGGCAGGGTTGTGTCTACGCTCTTCTCAGTCCAGTCAGGTTGATAATTATGTTCCATCACATGAATAGAAATGAATGTGTGTTGGCATGTAAGAGTAGATATGAGGAAATGAGTTATTATAATTTCTTGGTAAATGAAATAGATAAGGTACATCTACCACATGTAGGAAAAGGCTACCAATCCCTTTAAAGGGAGTAGATAGCAAACCTTTGATTGTTGACCCAGTGAGATCCTGGATTTATTTACATCACCATCATAAGAACAGCAGTTTTATCTCCTACACAAAGACATAGGAAATACGATTACAAAGAAACAGAAAAAGTGAAAACCTACACATTGTTGAACAATGGTACTTCATTTCTAAGGGCACCATTTTTCCTGTAGGCAGATCTGTTTCTAAAGAATGTTGGAGAATTTAAAAATATTTTAGACATGATTTTCTTTTATTTTAAAACAAATCATTTCTCATTTTACATATCAATCAGAGTTCCCACTCTCTCCCTTCCTCCCACTGTCCCCACCTTACCCCCACCCTACCCCATCTACTCCTCAGAGAGGGTAAGGCTTACCACCAGGAGTTAACAACGTCTGGCACATCTCTTTAAGGCAGGATGAAAGCCCTCCCCCTATATCTAGGCTGAGCAATGTGACCCTCCAAAGAGAATGGGCTGGAGAGAGGGCTCAGCCATTAAAGGCTATGCTGACAACCAAAAATATAAAATATTTTTAAAAGGATTCCAAAAAGTAAGTGTTGTCCAAGTGTGGATATTTGAATGTATTAAATTTCTCTTGGTACAAAGCAAATGACCAGACATTTAGCAATTCAAGGTGGCAACTACTTATTAGCTCATAGTGCAGCACCAGCCCTGAGCGCAGGTTGTCACATAGCAGAAATCCAATGGCTGGCCACATTTGACTCTGTTTGGGAGTCTGAGGAATGAACAATATCCAGGGAATCGATACTGTGTGGGGAGAATTATAAGACCAGTGACCTGAACCCCTACTAGAAGGTCACTCCAATTTTAGTTCCTAGATGTCTCACATAGTTCCTTTCCATGGGACCCTTACCGGCCTTGATCAAAACCAGATCTTATATATTCATAGACTGTGGTTTACTATATCAAACTTCACAAACATCTATGATTCCAGTTTCTGCCTCTGGAAATGGCCAAAAAAAAGTCTGTCTTTTAAAACATTATTTGATCCTATTACTCTCACCCAGACAATCATGCTCTCCATAAACCCCAAATTAACTGATAAATAGGCAAGCACATTTGCATGAGTACTGAAAATGACTAGGTATTTCCTAGACAGGCTAAAGTGAAGAACAAATACAGAGAAAAACACAGGTAATTTTGTAAGTGACCCGTATCATTTTTATTATTTTTATGACCCACTATTCTTGATCACAGGCCAGGAATAAAGTCATGTGAGGGGAACTCTGTGTGTGTGTGTGTGTGTGTGAGAGAGAGAGAGAGAGAGAGAGAGAGAGAGAGAGAGAGAGAGAGAGAGAGAGAGAACACTTCACAAAAAGAAAAAGAAAGAAACAGGATGCATTTTGTGACCTCAATTTCTACATGGAATTATTCTTGGATTATGATTTCATATTCCCCCAAGGTACAGGGAAGAGGAGTGAGCTTACTTCGTGATAGTCATTATTGTTTGCTGCTGTTTTTCAATTAAATGTTTATATGCCTGCCTGGGAAAAATTGCCATGATAGACTCATCCTTGTGGTTGGATATAGCTTGAACTCGTGGGAACTTTACTCGTGTGATTTCTCTTAACCCTCAGAGGATAAATGCTCTGAATCAAGTTGGCTATTGCATGAGACATTTTATTTACCTATTGGCTCCATTGTCCCAGTTCCCAGCTCATCTAGACTGGTGACAACTATAAATCAACAAACAATTCTCTGACAATGTGTTTAGTCACTTTCAACTAAAAAGTTTCTTAAAATAGTGAGTATTGTTTTACAGTGACTATCCTTCTGTTGAATTTTGAGATCAAATTCTTGGGATTGGATCATGGTGATTTATATATTGTTGTGCCTGAGATTTTGTTTGTGCTCTGGCCTGGATCCCAGTAAAGTACTGGAAGAATCCTTGGGAAATTAAAGTTGATATGAGGAAAATTTGGTGAAGAATGTAAATATCAAAGAAGGAACAAGATACCACCAGAGTGTGGCTTTCGCTACTGTCATTATACAAGGCTTACTCATAATTAGATTACTCACCAGATAATTCTTCAAGCTAACACTGCATGTTTAAATAACATTATGATAGAATGTATAATATAGTAGATAATAATAATTAAATGCATTAGCCTTTAATGCATTAGCACATTTTTTTCAAAGTACTATGCTTTTCTGTTTTTCTCTCAATATGGCAGAGGCACAAAGATGTGAGGAAGCTGTTTAGTTATTCAAGGAATTTACCCAACCCCATGCTTCATATCAGAGTCAAGATTCATTTCCCAGTATTTTGAACTTCATAGTCAAAGCCTTTTATTGTATACTCACTACATGATAAGTAAAATACTTGAATAATAAATAATAAAGGCTGTAAAATAAAACCACTTCTTACCCTGACTCTTCAGGGCTGAGTGCTTAAAGCTGTGTATCTGTGTTTCCCCGTTGCAATGACCCCTGCCCCATGCCCATCTCCAGGACTTGGCATACATACGAACCTGTTGACCACATTAGAGAATTTGCACTGTAAGATGGCATTTGATTCATTTGACTTTGAGATTACTCCTTTAAAATTAATTCTCATGACATGTTATTTGAAACCTTCTGACAAACAAGAATTTTAAAATCATCATCATTGTTTGCATGTTTTTTATTAGAAATATAGAAATTTTAAAGAAACTATCATGTTTCAGGATTTGTGACCTGTTAGTTTTTAATTGTGAATCTTCTGAACATCAAAGTCCAGTTGCTTGTTCTAAGTATTCTTGAATAGTAAGCATATTTGTTGTCAGTGTTGTGGTGTTATTTTCCTCTGGGCTCTTTTGTATGAGATGCGATCTTTCAGATGAAGGTCTGACTATTACGTGTGCGTTAGTACCATGGAAGTTCTACTGAGAAACGCAATTAATGTAGATCACGATGGAGTAGGAGCTAGTTTAAAAAACAGATGGTTTATTAGGAAAGTATTCATGCGATGGAGCCAGTCCTGTACAACCAGGGGGGTGAGGGAACAGAGAGAGCCGAATGCTTGCGACCATCATATTTAAGGCCTTGCTACGTCACTCTGACCACACCCAAGTGTTCGTGGTCGGCGTCACCTGTGCCAGCCCCCAAGTGGGTATGGCTGCATTTCCCCCTACAGAGTTCCTCTCCTCAGTCTTTTGCAAAGAAATATAATATAAACACCCATTAAGTGGACAACAGAGGGATATAACCTTACAACATTAATGCCCTTCTTTCTTATGTTTAGTCATATGTACCACAAAATTGCCTTAGAGAAATAAATGCCGTATCTAAGATTATTTTTATATGTCTTAGTTTTAAGTGAAATATTCTACCATTCATATCATCACCTTGTTGCAAAGAAGTTCCAACATTTTCAGTATTTTTCAAAATATTAATAGCATTTCTAGTCTGTAAGGGAAATGGCTATTGCATTTTGGTCTTTTTAAATTAATTTTTTATTTAAATTAAATTTTTATCTAAATTAAGTATTTTGTTCTTAAGAGCAAATGAAATTCATGAGAATTAAGAATTGTGGAGTTATGCTGGGCATTAGTGATGCACACCTTTAATCCCAGCACTTGGGAGGCAGAGGCAGGCAGATCTCTGTGAGTTGGAGGCCAGCCTGGTCTCCAGAGCAAGTGCCAGGATAGGCTCTAAAGCTACACAGAGAAACCCTGTCTCAAAAAAAAAAACAAAAAAAGAATTGTGGAGTTAAAAAAAATATTATTTGCAGAAATGTTAGTTGAATTTTAAACTTTTCTTATGTCGTACAAGTATCTCTGTCTAAAATGCTATACTTGTTGATGAATTCTTTTGTGTAGTGATAGCACTCTATACCTGGAGAAATGTGGATTGTCAGTTTATAAAGTGGTATAAGATCCTCAGCCAAGATTGCATTGTATAACACACTGAGGGCTGTATTGTATAACAGTGCAATTGACTGTGGTTAGACTCTTCTTATTCAGTAATACGGGATCATTGAGGCAAACCACTTAGAAGCACAAGGCCTGAATTTGTTCTCCAAAGCCTCACATTAGAGTTAATAGGTAGACTGTTACTCTTTGCAGGTACTAGATTTTGCCCATCATTTTTCAGGTTCCAGTTATTTTTTAATGTTTAAAATGATGAAGTTTTGATTAGGTTAGATATCTACACAGAACTAATGAATTCATATAAGAGAGTCATTCTCATTTCTTAATTTATGGCTAAAATGTTTAAGAGAATGTACATTTGTTGTTAATACGTATATTGCCATTGTCTGTATTTAGTTGCTACAGGGTAGATCACCCAAACCCAACACAAGGGAGCTGCTTCAGCCGGGCAGTGGTGGAGGCATGCTGGAGCAGTCTAGTGGAGACTGTGATGACGAAGATGGCTGTGGGGGATCAGGAAGTGGAGAAGCCAAGAGGACACTAAAGGTCACAAACTGTGAGTGCAAGAGCCTAACACTACTCTCAGATGGTTGCTTTTGAAGTGTCCATCAGGAATGGCCATGAACTCAGAAGCAGACAGGAGTAACTGGCAATGGAAATGAGCCTGTTTTTAACTACATAGGGCATGCATGCTTGGGTCTTTATTTATGTTGTGCCAGTGGCTTTATGTGGAAATGACACTTTTCTATAAAGAATTGACGAGAGATCAGCAGTTTTGAGAAATATACAGTTTTAATGGAAAACAATCTATAGGACATGTTCAAGTGTATTGGTAAGTAATGTGAGCCAGGCCAATGAGAACCGCTAAACAGCCAAATGTGCGATTTTACACTATTATCATGTCACTGTCTACATGTTTTTTCTCTATCAGTTTTTGTTGTCATCTAATTGGAATCATCTCTTCTGAATATGCACTTTTCCTGGTTATTTGAATATGTGTTTTGATCATATTCAACCATCTCCCCAAACTCTTCCTCAATCCTGCGAATCTTTACTTTTGGAAAATCTCCCTCATGTTGACTTTCTTTTTGTTAATAGGGACTGTACATTATAAGTGTTTCTGAATGTTTAAGTATTCATTTACATGAAAGATATAACTTCCCGTGCTGTGGTGATGGCTCAATTTGTAAAGTGTCTGCCATATAAATATGATAATTCACCAAAGTTGAGACCCTTAGTAGACACCTAAAAACCCAGGTGCAGTGGCTTGCATCTCTAATCCGAGTCCAGGGAAGTTGGGGTTCAGGGATTCCTGGGACTCACTGAGCAGAGACACTAGCAAAATTGCACTGGATGCCTGTCATCTTCCTCTGACTATCATGTGCACGTACACACACACACACACACACACACACACACACGCACACACACACACACACACGCCACACATATACACATATGTACATAGCACCACACACGTGCATGCATGTGTACCTATAAACAGAAAAAATACAATTTCCAATTTAGAAGTTTCGAAAGGGGAAAAATCAAAAGAAAAACAGCAACTAAATGATGTTCCAATTTGGTCTTGAAATACAGGATGAAGACAATAGGATCTCCACCCTCTAATGGCATGCTTGTTTGTTTGTTAATGGGGCAGGGCAATAAAAGTCATCAAATGAGAAAAATGGCCAAGTTTGTATTGCACAGGTGGATGGATTTCAGCTACTCAGCTCTGATTCTACCAAAGCTTAAACTGAAGTGATCTTTCTGGATGTTGCATTCCCAGGTGCGGATTGGCCTGAGAGCCTGTACTGCACCAGGATTGCTTACCACCCATCACACACACCCTCTACTGGGTGGAAAAATGCTCAGTGACAATGCTCCAAAGATGAAAAAGGCAGCTTCCCATTCCTTTAAAAACCTTGTTTTGTTAGCAAAGCATATTGATTTAAGAGACTAGAAACAAATAGTGATGCAAAATATAAAAAATTTGCATAATGAAATGGGTTTGCTTGGTACACATAGTAACATGGAGGAAAATAGATAAGAGTTACTATGAGCAAGCAGCAATGGAGTAAAGGTTGTAGACAGAGTACTTTCTACTCCTATTGGCAGAATTAGAGATTTGTGTTGTTCTAGTTGGTATGAATAGTCCTTCTTACATTGATTTTGTATTTGGCTGTCTTGGGGGATCTATACACAAAAAATAGAATGAAAAAGGCTTTCAATAGTAAAACTACGTTTACTAAGACTTTAAAGATTCTCTTATGTATTTAGCAATTATGACTGTTATTCAAAATTACTTATTTCTGCAATAATGTTTATATACATATTAATGTATATTACACATATATTATATATGTATAGATTACATATATATGCACTTATCATATACTTATATTTGTATGTATGTGTCTGCTAATTAGTTATTTTAATGTTAGCATTATTAGAAGACATCAAAGTATATACCAGGAAGAAATAATGGAAGAGAAATAGAAATATAATTATCAACTGATGTAGATTAGATTGAAATTACCTCCATATTTATATATACTCCATATATATATATATATATTTGTCCGCATATTTGTGCATACTCAGGCAAAGTTGGAATTCTATGGCATTTTTTTCACATTCTAGAATTATGTAGAATCTCAAGAATGTGGTGTGGATTTCTGGATTTGGTTTGTTTCACAAAAGAAATGGATCCAGTGAAAGATATTCAACTCCTGTCTTCTCATCAACTTAGGTGTCAAGGTAGCAGGTCTGAATTAGTTACTTCACAACCTATGTTTCAGTTACTGCTCAAATGGTCAGGTTGTAATCGAGCCTCAATCAAAACTGGGGAGCTCGAGACTTAGATGATTGTCAGAATCTCCAGGCAAACGCTGAAAACATCCTCATCTGTTCACTCCCTGTTGTTTCTGAGTGTTTATAGCTGTTATCTTTCAATTTTTAATAAGTGGGTAGGAAATCACCGTGGACAGACTTCTGAAATGAAGAAGATTGAGCAAATCATCAAAGTGTGAGCTGCTCTTCTAGCTTTTCAAAGTACTGCAATTTTGCTTTTTACAACTTTGAACTAGTTCATTGGTCAGAAGGTAAAAGCAGTTGTGGTTGTCTGAAAAGCTTGATAAAAAAAAAACTTTCTAATGTTCAATTCCTGTTACTTGTGTTTAGGGTTTTGCAGGTGTCATTATTTGCTCCTTATACTCCATGTTTACTCTTTATTAGCAGGAATTGTCATGGTTATTTGTGATCTTGAAGGTCCAATTAAAATAACCATATGTATGTATATATCATACATATATGATAAGAGAGAGAGAGAGAGATGCAGAGAGAGGATATTACTACTCTGTGCTGTGTAAATTCAATGACTCTCTTCCATTTATGTAAATTTACAAGGTTGATAAATATTTTCCTAGTTGCACTGTTTTCTATTTGTGTGCATGTTTACTTTAGACATTGTCGAGAACTATGTGATTCAAAATGCAGAGTTTTGACACCAAAATATTTACTTATCATTTAGGAATCATTTTTACTTAATCACTAATAATACTAAGTAATTTAAGATGTTTAATAGTGTATTTTTAAATGTATTACTTGTGTGTGTTGTGTATATGTTAGTATGTATTTATGGATATATGTGTATGTGTGTACATGTATGTGAGTATGTGTATGTGTGTATTTTATGTGTGTCTATCTGTATATGTAAATGTATATATGTATATATGTGTGTATGTATGAATATATGTGTGTGCTAATGTATAAGTGTATGTGTGTGTGTGTTAGTGTGTATATGTATGTGTATTTAATGTGTGTATATGGGTATGAGTGTGGAGATTGTATGTATGTGGCATGTTAGAGCATGCACTCCTGGAGACCAGATAAGATCCACGGAGTAGAGCTACAGGCAGTTGTGAGCCATCTGACATGGTTCTGGGAACCAGCTGGTTCTTCTGGGCACGAGGAAGACATGTCCATGCTCTTTCCTAGCCTACCTTTCCCTCCAGCCCCAGCTGTGCTGTATTTTACAATGTATTTCTTGATGTAATCCTGCCTGTGAGTTCTTATTAAATGGAAGCTGAAGTGTTCCTTATAACAAGAAGCCACCAAGTTGGATAGTTTTCAGTACTAGGGATTTAAAATATTTTCTCATTTCAGCAGAATGGTTTTGAAATACTTCCCATCATCATGGGAATTTTTCCTACATTGTAATATTTTACATGTAATTGGGCATTCATTGAGAACCCTGAATTGTAGGAATAGCAGTTTTGAATCTTTATTTTGCTTAATCACCTACACCTGAGGTCCTTTCATGTGGAGAACTCAAGCAGGATATATATGTTGATGGACACAATCCATTCTCCTTTCTCGGCATGTTTGACAAAGTAACTATCACTAAAATCAGTGACTCTCCAATAATTGGACTGTCCTTAAACACCAATGCTGATATTGAAAATCAGCTTGTCATTTGACAACAAGTTATAGGAAAACTATGGGCTGAGTAATTTTGAAACTTTATTGTAGTTCTTATATGCTATGCATTAGTTAACAAAGAGCAAGTTTATTTTGATAAGGAGGCTCACAGTAACAATATTAGACAAAATGAATTTGGTCTCAAGTTCATTTGGATGATACCCATGAAAAATATCATCATTTTACATATTCAAGTTCCTCCATCATTGAACTGTAATATTTACTAGGTTTTTTTTAAACAATATTACTCAGCATGCTTAGCAGAGTTTTCTTTTTGGTTTCATTTTCACTGAAAAACCTGTAAATGGAGTCAGCATGTGTTCAGTGTGTGTATCAGTTGTGTTTCTGAGTGCTTGGTTGCCTGTCATAATAGGAGTTCACATTGGCTGAAACATTCATAGCATCAAGTTACCCTTTCAGTCCTTGGGCCTTCCTGGATATTCTGTTCTGGTATCAAGATTTTTTTATAAAAAGAACTCGCTTTCTACAAGGATTAATCTATTGTTTATACTGTGTCTTTGATAACTCCCCTAGAATTCCTCATATCAGCTGCTAACAAATTATTCTATATGATGGAGCTAGGTGACCTTGGAAGACACTGTCACATTCCACATACACAGTGAAATAAAAATGATCCTTTGTTACTTAGTTAGAAAAGATACTAATTTACTTACTTCATGACCAAGGAATGTGGAGTGAGTGAAAATTCTTGGCTTCCTTGTATCTTTTTTTCATAAATCTCTGGTGCTTCAAGATCTCAACTAGCAGCGGACATTAGGGAGAGCTCAAAGAATATGACTTGAGTTTTTTCCCAGAGATATGAGAACTGTGAATTAGTGCCATCATAAAAATAATGTCAGGTACATTTCCATTGTCTGTCATTTCCCAAGCTTTGAACAAAAATCATGTGTCATTTTCCATTATAGAGCTAATGATTTTTCCCCTTTCCAATCTAAGTTATTTTAGGTAGTACATGCATATAAGATCTAAACGCCATTATATTAGTTCCAAATATGTTAGAACATTTATATTGCTTCTAAAATTAAAGTATTACCAACTTTCCTCAGATAAAAT